CAAGTTGTCATCGGTCCCTGGAATTCTCACCATGCATTATTATATGCACCGGTAGTAGCTCCTGTTTCGAAGTATTTATTTCTAATAAAAAGACAAGTTGAAAAACACGACAAACTACCAGTATTCATGCACATTCTCATGAGGGCACCAAATCTAAACTTCTCATCGGATCCCTAGGAGAAAGAAAGACAATAAATAAAGGATACATAAATGAAAAGAATGAAATTGAATGATTAGTGTTTGGAAACTTCTCCCAAAGCTGACACCATGGCTTCTATGATAACAGTTTCAGGATGGCAAGAGTCCGGCTTATAGGCAGCTGCCAGGCCTGATAGGTTTCTGTAGGCTGGTAGACTTCAGCTTATATCGGCCTGGGCTATCTCGTGTAGTTGCCTGCCTGGACCCAGCCTAAGGCCTATAGGCTGGCCTACCAGTAGCCTAGCCCGTTGGGAACACTGCCTGCGGGCGACTACAAGTTACAATAGGTACCTACAGGTGACTGCAGGTGACCCCCGGACCTCACAAACCACTAGGACTCATTCGGTAATAACGCTAACAGGAGACGCCAGGCACCTATAGTCAACCCCCGACTACAGTCTTTTACGAAAGACGGACGCCCGCGCCCTGCACTCTAAAACAACACGCCCGGGACGCTTGGGAACACTGCCGGGACCCCCAACATCGTTGACACTACCACTATCATCCAGCACACTTCAAGCGTCATCCAAACCACCACCGTCCTCCGCACCCCAACCATGGTCAACCCTCCGCCGTCGCCGGCACCCCAACTATGATTGACACTATGACCACCGCCGGCACCCCCAACATTGTCGACACTACCACTACCATCCAGCACACTGCTACCGTTATCCACATCATCACCGTCCTCCACACAAGTATCATTCTGCAAGATACTACCATCCTGCAAACCCTCATCTTCCCCACCGCCACCCTCCTCTCCAACACCACCATCCGACAGTCATTAGATAAAAGTCTTGGTGATGCTGGATGATCGCTGACCCAGCAGGGCTATTATAAGAGGACAGTTTCATCCCTCCAAATTGTCACCAAATCCAGAGAAATGGTAGCAGTACTGTAACACCGTTTAGTCCTGGCAAATATAATTCCACCTCGTATGACATGCGAAAGTGTAGCAGATGGTAAGAAGTGTTCCTTTTTTTTACCTCTCTCGGGTGATATTAGTTTTTACTAGTATTTTGTTGCTAAGTTAATCAATCGTTCACAGCTTTCTTACTGGACAAGGGAACTGAAATCACCTTGAAAATTCCCCTTCCAGTGGTTAGCTAGTATGTTTATCTCCACCAGCCATCCTATACACCCGCTTGGAGAAATTATATTGCCCAATGCTCTCTAGCAAACATGAGCAGTCTGTCCATCCAGTATTGGGCACAGCAGGACTAACCCAGGCTTTTTCTGAGATGCCCCGGCTGCACCAATGAAAAGCGGCTTTTCAAATCTTAAACCTGGCCTGCCCTAAGCATATGATGGCTTTACCTGAGCTGCTGGTGGCTTTGCCTAGGCACTGGGCCAAGTTAACTTGAATTACTGCATGATTGGACCAGGCACTTGCTTGGACACTGCGGGGCTTTGGTGGCTATGAATAATTTCAACCAGACTGATCCACGGTTCCCGAAGCAGTGGCCAGAGTGGCCGGACATCTGACCCATGGTACCGACTGACCACTTGAGATTACTGGATTCCCTTCAAGACTCCCTATGACGACCAATGCCAAAGCCTAGTATATCAGACATTTAAAGGAGAATCAGTACACTGTAGCTGAATTGCTCCTTCCAGCATCACTAATTTAATTTAATTTTCAATCTATGTTGTATAATTTCTTACACCTAATATCTCCTCGTTTGTTCGTTTCTCGAAGAAAGAGAAGGATTCCGGTGGGAGTGGGAGACCACGGACAATGTCTCAGTATCACGACCATCTTCTCCGCCCCGAGCGCGATATCGACAAACCTTGCCCTGCTGGAAATGACGGCGGTCAACCAAAATGTTCAACTTGCCTCATGCGAGGAGCAGCTACTGTGCGTGGATAAGGCGCCCGAGCCCTGCGTCGTGTCAGGCGAGTCCAAATCACCCCTAGTGGATCCCCGACGAGGCAGGTGAGGCCAACGCAGGCGGGTTGTGTTAATTCGGAGAACCTTTTGGGGGGGTTGGAGGCGGCGAGATGAAGAGATGAGATCCATGGGGTGGGATGGGAAGGGCTCAGGTTGCAAAGGCGGCTTTTGTTCCTTGTTATTAAATAATATCACCCGATAAGCCGTCGAGTCTTTGCAGTCAGTTTTAAGATTTGGAACACTAGCTCACTCGCGCGATTGTGATAAGAAACCTTTTGCCGTGCGAAAGAGGTGTGCTCATAATATTTACTCCGAAATCTGTACGATACTGCTCAGTATCCCCATAACGAAAACAAAGAAATTCTACGTACGAGTAGATTTACTCCTAGTTGTCCGAACAAATGTCTCGACAGCTCACAAATACCGGTACAGTACTGTACACTGCCATGTTCACAAAATCGGAATGACCAACACCCTTATCACGTAAGGTTAGTGAGCAAAAAGCAACGAAAATTGGAAAGACCCCAAGGGGGATCAGCTAAAGAATCAATACTCGAGTACAGTACAGTACAGTAGTGTGTTGAAAAGAAATGACCATGTACGAGTACCTTACAGTACTGTGCTCGTGGGTCATTGCCAAGAATGCCTCCGCCACTTGAGTGCCGGATAGCTTGGCGCTTTAGAGGTAAAATCCATGTCAAAAGACAGTACAGTACTAGGACAAAAATATTTCCGAAAAATCATCGTAGGTGGCAACCACACAATGTCAACTGACAACTTCGATTGCCAGAATGCCACCCAAAACGAAAGAGAAGACTCCAGGAATTGGGCACTTGTCAGATATTGAGAAAGGGGAAATAATTGGACTCTGGAATGTTTACTAAAGTGTGGCAAAAATTTTGCCACTATTGACATATCCAAGACAGGACTCGGTTGTACAAAAGTTCATCCAGCAGTGGCAGCAAAGAAACGACCACCATGACCACCCAACACCCGGGCGCCCCCCAAAAGTAAACCAGTGTGATCGGCGAAGGCTCCTGAGAGCAGCAAAAGCAGATAGACAGCAGCCTCTGCGCAAGTTAACGCAAATGGTGACTCCACATGTCAGTATACGAACGGTTAAGGGGGTTTTGGCAAAAGCAAGCATTAAAAACTGGCGAGCGAAGAAGAGGCCGAAATTGACAGAGGACCAGGCTGCTGCACACTTGCGCTGGGCCTTATGCTATGCAGATTGGACTGAGGAGGATTGGAAGCGGGTGATATGGAGCAATGAATGTAGTATAAAAAAGAGTAAGGATCCACGAAATGTATGGGTTTTCCATACCCCATATGAAAAGTGGGATAAGAAATGCATTCAAACCTATGAAAAGGGGCCAGGAGTAAAGTTGATGGTTTGGGGATGTTTTTGGGGTCCATACCGTGGTACCTTTGTTCCATTAATTGTCCGGTCTGTAGACTGATTTGTCTACCTTGATCTTTTATGTAACCTTTTACTACCAGTACTTGAATGGGTTCAACAAACAACAGGTGCCAAGCCTATCTTCATGGAAGATAACTCTAGGGTCCACAAGAACGAGGTGGTAAAGGAATGGGAGGAGGAGCAAGGAGTAGATGTGATGGAATGGCCGGCATGTTCACCCGATTTGAACCCAATCGAACATCTTTGGTATCGACTAAAGGAACGAATACAAACAATGTATCCTGACATTGGGGATACAAAAGGAGGGCCGGAGGCAGTTCAGAGACATCTCGCCGAGGTTCTTCCACTCGTATGGGATATGCTAGAGTCAAACTATCTGGAAAGTCTGTGGAGAAGTATGCCCTCTTGAGTTTGTGCAGTCATTGCTGCCAATGGGTGGTATACGAAGTATTGATTGTTATTTTTTTTTCTTTATATAAATGTATTCTGCTACCTGCATTTAATATTCATACTCATTCTTGTACGCTTTCTATATCTGGTTCGGGTGGGGGAGGAGGAAATGTTGTTACCGCTAAGCAGTATGTATGGGAATTTTTGATGGTTCGGAAATATTTTTGTCATCCGATTGTATCAACTAAATTTACAGTAGTGGCGATATTGCGCAGCAGGAGGCTGAAGCTCTGATCTTAATATATCATAACCGCTAGCCCACAAATCCTGGGTGGCGCCCGAATTACCACTGCAATGATAGTAACTACTTGTTCCAACCGCAAGCATATCACCGCCCAGCACGACTGCTCCCATATCTCATAGTCCATTAGTCCTCATAACCCACTGAGGGCTGCTTTCATCTAGAGCCCGACCCAGTTCAAATATACTCGGACACACGTATTCATATCCAACCCGCAGAAAAACACAATCCACGGCCCCACAGATAAACCCGCTCCTTGTGCAGTACGAAAAAAAAACCTATCGTTTACTCCTAGTGGGATTTCATTCCCTAACTTACTAGCAGGCCCCCAGACCTAGATTCCGCGACCGAAGCCATATGGAAGAAAGGCTCAAGGTTACGTCCAAACAATCCCAATGGCTACCGAGGGTGAATTGTGGAATGGGGTATCTCTAGGATATATTATAGCGCCGTTTCAAATATCCATGAGGGTCAGGAACGATAGTTGTGAAAAAATATCATCGACTAAGCAGTCTCCACGATGTTTGCTTTGTACTGTACTATATATAATGTATCATACCCCCATCATAGCAAATATGCTCTCATACCCAATAACCAACACTACATGCTAAAGACTAACCCTCCATAAACTATCCAATGGATACACCCAACCCAAAGAACATGCCGTCAACTCATCACAAAAGGAAGCGAGATCGCTAAATACCATGCCATGCCATACACAGCTCTCTCGTTTCTCGTTATTTTGACCCCAACCCCATAGTACTCGAGACATATCCCACACACCAATCGCGTGGACTGAATCACCACTGCCGACTCCCCCTTCTCGTTCTTTGCGCCCTCTTCTTCCCAAAACACCCCAGCCAAACCGCCTTAAACCCTCTCCACACCCTCGCACCCTCCATAGTGTCTGTCGCCTTCCCAATAGTATACAGTACTAAAATAGTAATAAACATGAAAACTCCACTAGCGCCCCAAAAGTCCCGTTGTCTGTAAACGCCCTGCAAATCCTTCAGTTGCATAGAAAAGTACCCAGTGATGAGCGTGAGCGGGACAAACACAAACGCGAATTTCGTAAGCAGGATAGCAACGCGAGTGAGTCGCTCTACTGACTCCGATTCTCGCAGGGCAATGAGATTGAACGTCATATCTACCAGTTCCGATTTCTCCTGCAGACAGTCGTTGATCTCGCCGAGGGCATAAAGCTTTATCCTATCCCTTAGGCGTTCGAATTTTGCGATTGCGAGGGGGTTGAGGGGGACACCGAGAACGTCTGGATCTCCCATTGGAGCGATGGGGCTCTGTGGGAACCCAGTGAAAGGAGCAGTTGGGGCGACTGATCGTGGGGTGTTCTTTTTGTGAGAGTTTTCTTGGCGGTACAGGACATTGTCGATTATTATCTTTTTGGTCTCGTACATTCGCTTTAGAGTTGCTAGCTGTCGGGCAAGGCGGTGGAGACTGGAGATTTGGGAGAGAGAGGGGCTGTTTTGCATCTCACGACGCTGCGGCCTATTAACGGATGAAAAGGTGAGAGGTGGAGAAGGATATACCAATTCACGCATACGATTACTATACGGATATCCACGGCCAACTACAAGCTCCAAGGAGGAGTACCAATCGTCAAATAAATAATAGAAAAGGAGACTCGGACCACTTTCGACCTAATCACCACGGTCAGTCACTCCCACAAAACAGAACCTCCGAGGAAGATCGAATGCTTACATTCTCACTTCCACCGCCCTCAGCAAAATTTCTTCTGAAAGGCAATTCATCCATTCCCCCCGTTTGCACAGAATTCGCTACTTTTCCCATAGCAGTGCTGGATCTGGACAACGATCGGAAAACTGTGACCAGGTTCCTCCGTATGATTGCCAACCCTTGGTCACCAACGTCCCTTCCCGGGGCTTCAAGTAAACTCAGAACAGTACCTAGAAAATCAGTATAAGACATACGAGCGGGAACACCACAGACAAACCATCATCGCAGAGCACTAACCATACCCATTGTCGTTTCCCATCGGGGTAATTTTCCCCTTTACCCATGGCTACTCGGCCATCTTCATCCTCATGCCATTGATTGACATCGCCGCCGTTCCCATCATTATCGTCAGTCGGGGCTTTCCTTTTAGGCATCTGATGTAGTGAGTTGAATCCGATGCACATGACTGCAGGGATCAGCAAATGGCCAACAGATGTCAAAAGAAACTCACATCTTCCACCCCATTCAACAGCATGCCAATGCCAAACATTGCTCACAATCTCCATGTGTCCACCCCTCCTAGCCCCCTGTAGTATTGGTAAAGGAGCAGCAGCATTAGCTACCGCCTCCATATTAGCATAGCTATCCGCCGTGCTCCCATCCTCAATATCCAAGGGATCCGAAGGATGTCGGTGGAACAATCTATTTCTTATAGAAAGTACAGATTTCTGATGAGCAGGGATATTGGTGTGCGCAGCCGGCGGTGCTGTAAGAACACTAGTATGTCGAGAAGTGAACCCATAGTGGGCAGCAATCGTCTGGACTAGTTCCTTCTGTGTATGCGGAGCGAATATATTACTAGCAAAGAACCAGAATTAGTCCAGAGCTTTAACCAGAGTGATAAAACATGACTAACATCCATCTAGTGCGTAACTCCCTCGGCCTCTGCAACAGGTCAGCCCAACCCAACCCCCCTTTAAACGCAGATCACCCGCACAATAGCTCACATCTTGTTTCAAAAGATTCCTCAAGCTATCCAAAGTCTCCGTCTTCGAAGAGTCGAGATCCAGAGCGCACCAAGCCCCACCACACTCGATCTTTGGCTCCCCACCGAAATCGACAACAAAATTCTTCGTCGAGTGATTTAGAAGCGCAGCTTCACATTTCGCGTAAACACTATCCTCGTCCAGATTCTCGAATTTAGCAGTAAACTCTGGGTTGAAGCTCGAGTAGTAGTCCGGACAGGGCGTCAATGGAGCAGTAAGCCCAGATGACGGTGGGCTAGGCTGGAGAGGCCCTAAATTCTCGAGTTGGATACCAGTAACACTACCTGTAGAGCTCGGGTTATCCATGATGCGTGCAAGCGCGATAATCTCGCAGGTCTGGAGAAAGGAAGAAGCAGGAGAAAAGGGATGTTATTTATCGTACCTGTGACTAAGCGAAATGGTGTTGTAGGTGCTTGTATGGTCTCCTATGATACGAGCAGACACATGCCGAGATTGGTGGCTGAGGCTGAAAGTGCCATGCCAGTATCAATACCGGTACGGTAGTCTGCCTCGAGCCCGAATATTGTTGACTCCGAGACAGGAAACCACTTGGCTGGTTTATGCGGACTTGGAGAACTTCCACAGGATCGATCCCATGCCGGAGCAGAAGACAACCAAGCAATCAAGGTTGAGTCTCCAGCGAGCTTGAGCATCAGCCTCGCGGTAGATAATCCGCCCACCTACGTTCGGGACTAACCCGGCCGACAGGGATTCTCACAATCTTCTTTGGCTGAAGGCTCGCCGCCAGCCACCACAAGTCCTTTCCAGTGTAGCGCGACACCTTGCCACACCGGTTCTCCAAGATGAGTGCACCATCATCCGGCTATCATTGGTCCACCACAATTGACAAGGCACCTTGCGCTCCCATATAGGCTTCCATCTTTCTACAAACGATATCCTTAAAGTGATTACAAAAACCTATTTGCCCTCAAGCTTCCCCTTCACACCTCTCAAATGCCCACCAGGGTTATATAAACGGCTGCAGTGCCAACCGCATTCAGCACAGTACTTTTCAAGGCGCCAGTAATGGGCTTGCCGCAGAGCGATTACACAAGGGGGCCACTGCCGCTGCGCGAAAAGACACTCTCGTAGAGACTGGGAAAAGGGCCACTATAACCAGGCTTTGTATCCTGCCTAAACTCACCGCCAAGACCCCCGACACGGTAAGGTCACGCTTTCCTGTCGCAAAGGTACCCTTTCGGCTCAGTTACTAAAGGCTCCAATACCGGCACTACTCGTGCTTGCACAATCCCGCCCTACCGTCAGCCGTCCAGCAACTTGAATTTATTGCGGTAGCGAAACCGGAGCACAAGAATTCCCTACGTACTGTACCGTACATACTCGCTCTCAAGTCAAGGCCAAGCTACCTACAGTACACAAATACTAGCATCCTGTCGAGCTAGACCCGAGCATTATGGACATCTAGGTATGTTAAGAGTTTGAAGCCCGGTAAGTTGTACCATTACAGAAAGTATATTGAAGCATTGAAGAAAGTGATGGATAAGTAGATATTTTTACTCAATCAGAATTTATAATTATATTGCAATAACAGTACGTGATTTCAATACTGAAATTATGATATAAAAAAGAGAGAAATAGTTTTCAGTTACTTAACTACCTGCATCTCATTGGAAGTAAGATAAAGTGAAAAATAACTATCCTCAGATTATTCTATAAAACTTAAGCAGAACTTTAAGAATCAACAATTAGCTAGTTAGAACTGACTATAATAGTATAAAGAAAGTAAAACTAATACAATCATGATATATGTGAGCCTTCAGGTCAGATTAGAAGACATACTACTTTTTTTCTATATAAGAACTCCTACTTTCCGTTTATTATTATAATAATTATTAACATTAGTCTCTATATTTTTAGTGTTAAGACTATATTATCACCTAATTTCATGATCACTATCATAAGTTAATCAACTGTGGCTAACATAACACCTTTTTGCCTTTTACACTAAAAATCCAACTTTCAAAATTACTAAGGCCTTTTATAACCACAAGCATAATTGTAAAAAAAAAAAAACCCCTGTTTGTTTTTCTGCTTCTTTGACACTTCTTAGAACTATTATTTTTTTCTTTTTTTTCTAATTATATTTGTAGCTGTTTTTCAAATTATATTTGTGACTGTGAATCCTTACGAATTTAAAAACAATGAAATCTCAGGTCCCCTTTTTGAATTGCATGAACTATACGGAATGGGTTTTTACCTGCTTGTGATACATATCATAGGTCGGTCGCTATGCTGGGGTGTAGTTATTAAACGGACACGCCTGTATCATATATATTAGAGATCAGGACAATGCCCATCTCAACCCTACCACGAACAAGTCCCTTAAAATACCAAGCCAAACTATATTATCATACGTTCCCATCAATGCACTCCAACCTCACATGCTACAACACCACAATGGAATTACTCCATCACCAATGACGCCCCGCGAAGCAATAGGGTATCGTGAAATAATCCACCCAGCCATTCCAGCTTGATCATGGAATATGATTCGATATCTGCTATTGCTGTTCTCACCCAGTGGTCGAGACATTCGATTGGCAAAGAGGACGGCTACCCGTGCCCAATTAAGCGGATGTCTTCTTCATCAAGCAGGTCTCGTGTCGCCCGGGTTGCCTACTGGTCGGGAAAAGTTCCCGGCATCTAATTACCGAGTAAAGTGTTGTAGGTGAGATTCGTGGTATGTATTGTGCGTGGACAAAATTAACGGCGATTCAACAGAGGAAAATCTTCGGCAATGACAACCACACTCACCCACCAATCCACTATCATGAAAACCAAAAAAAAAATTAAAAGATGTAAATACATAGTAGAAATTAATATTTGGTATACCATCCATCAGCCTTAAATAATTGCCTCTATTCTATCCACCATTGATCCAGCTAAAGTATTAAAAACCTTTGGGTCAAAAAGTTCCCAACAATGAGTAATGGCCTCTACTATTGCCTTCTTGACTACATTGACATCACCCTTCATAAGATATAGCTCATGGTAGTGCTTGTGAAGCTTACCTTTCACCAGAGACTAAATATTTTCAATTGGATTGAGATCTGGTGAATAGGCAGGAATTTCCATCAGTGTAATTCCCTGCCCTCTGAGCCATCTCCTAAAAGGCAAGTGAGTCTTAGCATTGCCAATGATAAAAAATACCTCTTCTTCTCCAGCATTTTCTCTGATATTCTCCCATATCCCTAGAAAGTCATAATGATCATAAACATCAATAATTGACTTCCCAGTAACTTCAGCCCTAGCAGAAGAAGGATCAGGAAAACAGGTAAAAAAAGACCATGAGTTTGACTATAAAAACAACCAGTCATCATCTGGCTAATCCCTCTCTCCCCTGTCCTAGGCTTAGGTTCAATACAATCTTTATTTCATTTCTCATATGGGTATCTGAAAACCCATTTTCTCCTCTTTCCTCTTCCCCTTTCCACAGCTATTTCATCCTCCCACATTACCTTCCTTCTCCACATCTTCTTTGTCCACTGCCTATGAGCTAATGCCTATTCCAACCTCTTTTGAGCTAGATCCTCATCCAAATGAACTCTCTCTTGTGCCATCCACTTTCTAAGATACCTTTTTTCAATTTTTCTTCTTACTGTCCTACTAGAAACATTGGAAGCAACTTACTCAGCAATGTCAAAATAGATAGTATGGTGATTTTTAAGAGCTTCCTCCACCATAGCATTATCCTATAACTTGGTAGTTTTAGGATATCTTCCTCTACCCTTATTCTCCTTGCCCTTTTGATGTCTCTTTGCAACTGTGTCTCTGACAGTAGTGTAGGGGATATTAAGGTAGCGGGAAATTTGCTAATATCTCATCTGAGTCTCATGTAACCCGAGAATCCTCCCCCTGGTAAACTCAGAGAGATGTGTGGAGAGAATAGGTTTTTTGGCATGACTGCAAAGAATAGGAGGCATAGTTTATTGAAAAAAAGAATTGAGCAGAATGTTTTCTTCTTGGTTGACTTTAAGCAATTTCTTTAGGTACTGTTGAGAGTACATGGTGATGAAGAGGGGTAGATTGCCACAGATTGTTGAATCGCAGTTAATTTTGTCAATGTACAATATATTAGTACTCAGGGTAAGAAGTTCAGAGTACTATTCAATCGTTTTCTACCTTGGTTTTACACTCTCCTTGCTTCTTGATACCTTTACAAGGACAGGCCTCACAGTTGAGTGTACTTCTATGAAGTTCATGAGATGGACACCCTTGCTATAAAGTGAGCCACTAGGTCACTTCCATCTCACTTCAGTCACTGAGAGGAAGTTTCTGTCCAGTCAAATTCTATAACCTTGGATCCCACTAACGATCCCTACGAACCAGAAACAATTTTATTGTAGGGATGCAACAAGTACATAAGCGAGCAAGAGTATATTCCTAACTGGTAAAATATGATTCGTTAGGGCTTGCAGACCCTCTCATCCTATCGGACTGAGTGAAGGGTTAGGGGATTTACCAGCAATACTCGAGTATCATACAGGTATCATATGATACCATACCATAGCACCCATAGTAATACAGTTGTGTCTGTAAAGTCTTCATATCCCAGTGGCGCAACTACACAACCACAACACCTCTCTCTGGCAAATTGAAAAAAAATTCAAACAACTCAATTAAGAAAATTATATGAATAAAACTAATAAGCCTTAAGAAAATATTATTACCACTTTGTATAACCACCATCTGCATCTAGTACAGCCTGTATTCTCTCAGGCATCCTATCCATTCACCCATCCAACTTCTCTTGGGAAATTAAATCCCATTCCTCCTTTGCTGCCTGAAATAATTCAGCAGCACTGTGAGGCCTCCTATCCAACCTGGAGAATCGATTTCTGAGGGCTCTTTTGAGCAGAGCCCAAGTGTTCTCAATAGGATTAAGATCTGGTGAGTTGGGTGGCCAAGGCAATTTTTGATAACCACAGTCTGACTGCAATTTTCTGTTTTCCTCACCACCATGCCAGGAGGCCTTGTCTGCTGCTAGGTAGATGTTGTCAGAAGATCTATCCAGACCTTCTATAAAAGGGATAAGGTATGGCTGGTGGATTTCAGTTGCATATTGGTGGGAATTAAGGCCAAGTCTGTCTCTTTTACTGGTCCTTTCTTCCTCCCCCCTCTTCCTTACAAGAATTAACTCAGTCCTGCCACCCTTCATGATTGCAGCATAGACCCCAATACTTGTCCTCCCAGACTTAAAGCTAGGCTTCAAGTTTTTTTCTTCCAGCTCTTCACCAGGTCTAACTCTGACCTTCCTGCCAGTAGGATTTAAATCATAGATAATAGTAGCTTCATCTACAAAAACAACCCAATTCCATGCACCCCTCCAATTCTTCCTTCTCCTAGCAAACTCCTTTCTCTTCTCCTTTTGTCCTTTCCTCCAAAAAGGTTTTTTTTTCTTTTTCTACGTATCAGAAGCTTTAAACCAGCTTCTAATATGATCTTATCCACAGATGTCTTTCCCAGACCAATATTCACTTTTTTGGTAATGTTGCATAATGCTAAATGAGGCTTGGCATCGATAATGGACTCCACTATCTTTCTTTTTTGAGGGGTAATTGTTGTTGGTCTTCCAGATCTGGGGGCATCATAGGTATTTCCATTTCTTGATTCAGCTCTTTTGACTACTGAT